GAATCTTTAATAAAATAAACTTGAGTGGTTTGTTTTAATAGTGAGTATATAAACAAACAAGATGTATTGTAAGAGTCACTTTATTTTTCATTAATATTAAAGAAGTGAAGTTGCTGTTAATTTATTCATTGCATGGGTGGACCTTATCCTTACCAATCATCCAGACATTTGCCCCCCCTGAGAGATTTTGCAGGAGCCGCCACTGATTAGGAACACAGAACTTGGGCAATTGTTGGTACGGGTTCTGGTCGCCTCCCCTGTTTGTCTGTAGTTTCCCACAGGAATCGTTATTTCTATGTAATCATTCCCCCCTCCATTCTCTCTCTCTCTCTGAGAGTGAAGGAAAACGGTACGAGTTACACGACATTATAACGTTGCTATTAAAAGTATGAGTATTATTGCAAAGCACCGTGTGCGTCCGTTCTGTGAAACTGTACGATCTGAGTCACGAGTGGGTCCTTAATTTAGCACGTGTTACAAAATTGTTGTTGTTGTTCTATTTGCCAAGTGTAAGAGCGTGGCGTTATAGAGACACGCGCTTTTATTCATTCGTTCATACTCCGCCTTCAGAAAACAGCCGCTCGGAGCTGTCGCGGCGTTAACAGAGCGAACTCATCGCAACGAGGCTCAGGACATTCTTCACCAATACTATTGCATACGTATAATAATAATAATATTGATTTGGGTATTTTTACAATGCTTTGTCGAATCCACTGGCCGTCACTGGATCAAACCCACAGAGCAGCATCGTCCCGTCACCCACGCACCTCCGATGATCATGGTTGGCTACGTACGGTGCGAAAGAAGTTTGACATACATACTGCCCATAGACTCAACACTGCCCATAGACTCAACACTGCACCATAGACTCAACACTGCACCATAGACTCAATACTACCCATACACTCAGCATTGCTACCCATAGACTCAGCACTGCCCATACACTCAACACTGCCCATACACTCAGCACTTGCCCATAGACTCAGCACTGCACAATAGACTCAACACTGCACCATAGACTCAACACTACACCATAGACTCAGCACTACACCATAGACTCAGCACTGCCCATAGACTCAGCACTGCCCATAGACTCAGCACTACACCATAGACTCAGCACTACACCATAGACTCAGCACTACCCATAGACTCAGTACTGCCCATAGACTCAGCACTGCCCATAGACTCAACACTACACCATAGACTCAGCACTACCCATAGACTCAGCACTGCCCATAGACTCAGCACTGCCCATAGACTCAGCACTACACCATAGACTCAGCACTGCCCATAGACTTAGCACTGCCCATAGACTCAGCACTGCCCATAGACTCAACACTACCCATAGACTCAGCACTGCCCATAGACTCAGCACTGCCCATAGACTCAACACTACACCATAGACTCAGCACTACCCATAGACTCAGCACTGCCCATAGACTCAGCACTGCCCATAGACTCAACACTACACCATAGACTCAGCACTACCCATAGACTCAGCACTGCCCATAGACTCAGCACTGCCCATAGACTCAGCACTACACCATAGACTCAGCACTGCCCATAGACTCAGCACTGCCCATAGACTCAGCACTGCCCATAGACTCAACACTGCACCTCCGATTAGCACGGTTGGCTCGGTTGGCTACGTACGGTGCGAAAGAAGTTCAACGCACACACGTGTGTCCATCCCATCCAGCCCCCTACTATTGGCAGGCAGTCTTCACCTGTCTGTGAAACACAGCTGCGCCTTCCTTCGTGACAGCACCTGCCCAATGAGGAATGGAGCAAATGCCAAATGTATTAATGAGGTGATTATGATGATGTTCATGATTATTATTAATGCCGCTGTTGTTGTGTGCATTTTTAAACACGTGAAAGATGTGTAACCCGTGGTGGCACCACTCGTCAAGGATGTAAGCCACGGGGACAAACAAAAAACCACACAAAGTCAGGAACGAATGCGGTTGCTTGCTAGACCGTGCACGATGTTATTTTTTAAATACAAACTGTAGAACCAGTGGCCTCTCCACCACCACCACCTGCCAGGGATAAGGGGCTGTAGAGTCAGTTGCACAAAAGGGCAGCAGGGCAGCAGGATGAGCGGCAGAGAGCGGCAGGGGGGAGAGAGGGCACGGCTCGAGATGAGGACAGCAGGGAGGAGAATGAGGAGGAGCGCTGGGCAGGAAGGGAAGGAGGAGGAGGGAGGGGGGTGGAAGAAGGAATGACTGGGTCAAGTTGTCGGGGACGAGAGGGTGATGGTGGTGGTGAGAGGGTGATGGTGATGATGCTAAGAGGGTGTTGATGATGTGAGGGTGGTGACGATGAGAGGGTGGTGATGATGATAGGGTGGTGATGATGATAATAAAAGGGTGATGATGATGAGAGGGTGATGATGACAGGGTGGTGATGATGAGAGGGTGGTGATGATGAGAGGGTGGTGATGATGAGAGTGTGGTGGTGATGATGAGAGGGTGGTGATGATAATAGAGTGGTGATGATGAGAGGGTGGTGATTATGAGAGGGTGGTGATGATGAAAGGGTGGTGATGATGAGAGAGAAGAGAGCGAGAGACTGAAGAGAGGAGCAAGGAGTGAACAGAAGTGAGGAGGACCGGCGTCTGTTTTCACAGTGGGCGTCAGCGGGGAGAGAGAGGAGGGCGGGGTGGGTCCAGAGTCGAGGTGGCCGCGCGCGGGTCACGTGATCCACGTGTCGGCGCGAGCCGATGTCTATCGATCGATGCCCAATGCTGCTCCACGCGCCGTGCAATGCGGCGTGCGCAATGCACGGCGCGGTGACTTTACGAGGAGCGCCAACGAGCGATCGGGACACGGCTTGCGGATCGCATTGGAACGGCGTGAACCAGCCCGTTCTCCGTAGCTCCCGCGGCGTCAACATCAGCACGTGGAAGCTCGTTGCAACAAACGTGTGGATCGTTACGAAAAACCCCGGCCGTTTCAGATTGTCACAAATCTGGCCCCGAATGATACGTTCACGAAGCCTTAGCCGTGCGTCCTTCCTCAATGCCCATTTTCATCAGCGGCCTCGAGTACGTTGATGGCCATTCCGCATTGCTATGACGGAGACAAGTCTATCCATGAAGACATCCACCGTTGATCACGGACAAATCACCATGGAATGCGTCCGTTAACGTCATCACTCGGGATGTAAGCTGAGCCTGGTTAGCACTCGCATGGTGATCATAACCACCACCACCACCCCCACCCAGGGCTTGCCAGGAGATGTCAGTGACGAATATCTCCCCCTCGTATGCCGGAGTTTCTCCTGCTTCTCCGGTTTCTTCACGGAATCGCAATCTTTATTTATTCCGGAAGGAAATCCGATGAGCTATGAAGGTCTTTGTTACAGATGTGAACGCTCTTCGCTGCTGATGGGATGGCGCGGGCCACACTTGACAGTGTCGTACCGGGGCCAATCTTTCTTTGGTAAATGTTTGGTATTATCGTTATGTTATTAATGAAGCGTCGTGATCTATTATTTTTCTACCTACGGGACTTTATCGAAAGAACCAAAGATCATTATGTTATTATTTTTCAATATTGTTGTGCTTATATATAATTGTCATGATACATGATACGTGTGTGTGTGTGCGAACTCTGATCCCGGAAGGATGATTGTCTAAATGTTTTGGAATCCACAATCCCTAAGATTGCGTCGAGCATTCTGATCAGAGGGCAACGCTGTTCGTTGGCAAGATTCTACGCCACCCTCCCTGCCACCCCATAGACCAGGGGTCGGCAACCAAAATAACAAGAAGAGCCATTTCTTTCCAATTCGGTACAAAATTCAGTATTTCAAGAGCCGCAATGCATCTGAGTACATTACTGTACATAGGTACTCATCGTCAAGATGCAGCCCGTAAAGAGCCACATGCGGCTCCGGAGCCGTAGGTTGCCGACCCCTGCCATAGACCATCTCGGAGGCATTTTGCTCGGTCGGCGTGTGTCAATTATTTACTTCGGGAGTCGTAAAAGGGCATTGGTTAATTAAAAGGGCATTGGTTGATAAAAGGGTATTGTTTGATACTAGGAAATTGTTTGATACAAGGGCATTGTTTGAGAAAAAAGGGCATTGTTTAATAAAAGTGCATTGTTTAATAAAAGGGAATTGCTTGATTAAAGGGAATTGTTTGATAAAAGAGCATTGTTTACTTCCGGAGCCGTTAAAGGGCATTGGTTAATAAAAAGGGCATTGTTTGATTAAAGGGCATTGTTTGATACAAGGGCATTGTTTGATTAAAAGGAATTGTATGATAAAAGAGCATTGTTTAATTAAAGGGCATTGTTTAATAGAATGGCATTGTTTAATGAAAGGGCATTGTTTGATAAATGGATAGTTTGATACAAGGGCAGTGTTTGATAAAAATGTATTGTTTAATAAAAGGGCATTGGTTAATAAAAGGGCATTGTTTGATGAAAGAAAATTATTTAATAAATGGACATTGTTTAATAAAATTACATTGTTTAATAAAAGGGCATTATTTGATTAAAGTGCATTTTTTGATTAAAGGGCATTGTTTGATAAAAGGGCATTGTTTGATAAAAGGGCATTGTTTAATAAAAGGGCATTGTTTAATAAAAGGACATTGTTTAATAAAATTACATTGTTTAATGAAAGGGCATTGTTTGATTAAAGAGCATTGTTTAATAAAAGGGCATTGTTTGACGTTTCAAAGTCAGTCTGAAGCTGTAATGCAAATGAAATGTCCTCGTTTGCTTGTCGCCATGAGAGGTGTGGAATTGACACGTGTGGTTTGAACGACACTTGCCATGGAGATGTATCTATCTATCTTAGAGGGCAGCCCGTCCTTTGGACATGGTGAAGTGACACTCACAAGCCACCACACATCATTCACACCGACCAAATCATCGTTTCAATCGATAATTCAAAACCATCGCCAGCAATCATCAACATCGTGAGCATACGTATCAGCAATCATGAAGATCAACCACTCGCACAAATCACTCACAACAAAGCAATCATCGCCATCACGATAATATTGATGTTTCACCGCTGTCATTAAATGCGCCAGGTTTCACAACACCGCAATCACGCTAAGCGTAGCAATAAAATAGAAAAATATACAAACATTCTACGTGAACACTTTCTTGTCAAACAGCAGAAACCATCACGCGAACTGCGGTCATCCTCGCAGCGGCTTTTGGCTGCTGCCATCGAACAAAAGCGGTGGTCACCGCATCGCGCGCCTTCAGATGGGCTTCTGCGGCCGTCTGGAACGTTCTCCCATCCGATATACTATGAAACCACTGGGAACCACCACGCACTTTTAAAATCACCTAGCTTGACAAACGATTTTCTTTAGAACTTTTTTTTTGCGTGTGCTTAGTTTTCTTTGTCCTTCCCCCATCACCTCCGAAGAGCACGGTTGGCATACGTACGGTGCGAACAAAGTTCAACGTTCGCACGTGACAAGCCACACGGAGAAACAACGTTCAGGCTGTCGAGTGGCGCGTCTCGTCCACATCGTCCGGGCCCCTCGGCTTGAGCTCCCGCTCGCCCTCGTGGTGAACCTGCGTCGGGGCCGACGGTCTCGGCATCACCTTGACCCCTTGCGCGGAACCTTGGGTCGCCAGCCACACGTACTCGTTTTTCTTCTCGCCCTGCGGAGCCTGCTCCTCCTCCTCCTCCTGCCGACGACGCTTCCTCGTCTTCCCGCTGCCTCGGCAACACAGCAGCACCATGGCCACGGCGCACACCACGATCACCACCAACACGAGGGCGATCGCAATGGGCAGGAGCACGTGGAACGCCAGGTTGGGTGGAGACTCGGTCGGGGTGATGTCCACCCAATCTGTCGTCGTGGTCGTGGTGGTGGTGGTGGTAGTGCTGTCCAGCAGATTTCGCTCGGGCGTGCACGTGACATTGTCCGCCTCCAGGCGCCACCCCTCGTCGCACGAGCACTCGTAGCTACCCTCGGTGTTGTTGCACACGTGGTGGCACGCGTGCGCTCCCAGGTCGCACTCGTCCGTGTCGTGGCAGCCGAGGCCGCTCTTGTCTTGCTGGTAGCCGCGCGGGCACGTGCACTCGTACGAGCCGTCCGTGTTGACGCAGTGGTCGTCGCACGGCTCGTAATCGCACTCGTCGATGTCTTCGCACTCGGTGAGGTTCACCAGCTGGTAGCCCTCCACGCAGTCACACACGAAGCCGCCCTCTTTGTTGGTGCACAGGCCCTGCTGCTGGCAGGGGTCGTCGCGCGCGCACTCGTCCACGTCCTCGCATTGACCTCGCACGAGTTCGAACCCGGGCGGACAGGTCGGCGACATGGAGGATGAGGACAGCTCCTTGTCGATGATATCTTGCAGCAGGCAGGGCAGTGGCTCGCTCACCTTCCACTCGGCGTCACCGCCCGCGCCTCTGCTGCAAACGGCGTTCGCCATCCCATCAGCAAAATCACCGCCGCCGCCACCAATATCATCATAGTCGTCATCATCACCGCCATCATCTCCTCCGAACGTCGCTCCGCACACCACCACGGCCTTGCTCCCGACGGGCAGGATTCCCAGCGGACTCACCGCGCCGCCGTTGTCCCACGGCACGAGGTAGCGCGCGGTGCCCGCGCTCGTCCTCACGGCGGAGGCTCGGAGCCCCTGTTCCAGCGACAGGGGTGCGCACCCCGAGGCCACGCGGACCCCCACCGGGTGCTCGCACACAAACCCTTGCACCGCTTGACTCTTGCAGAAGCGCGACTTCCAACCCGGCGGCTCGTCGACGGACGCGAGCACGAGCGAGGCGCAGAGCTCACGCGTGCACGAGGTCAAGCTCTGCTCGAGCCAGTTCTCGTAGTGGGAGTCAGCGGCGCGAGACTCGCTGTGCGCCAGCCACGAGAAGCCGCGTAAGGGGCCCTTCATGTCCATCCTGCAGCCCTTGCGGCGCAGGCCCATCCAGTACTCGGGAGCTCTGCTGGACTTGCGAGACGATGGCGATGATGATCGCGGGGACGACGACGACGACGCCGAGCGATGTGTCTCATCCTCGACCGCGCGCATGAGTCTGCCCAGTAACTCTGCTTCTTCCTCGGTGTCCACAGTGGCGAGATGTCCCCCCGTCCTCTCGCATGCCGTCAACGCCGCGTTGAAGTCGACGTGCTGCTGCGGCTGATGTTTGACGAGGCTGTAGCAGCTGTTGCCAGAGCACGACACGAAGGTGGCGGGCGTAGCGCAAACGCCACCGAGAAGCAGTGAGGCGAGGCACAGGAGCAAGGCGACCATGGCTGCTGACTACTGATGAAGATGATGCAGCTGATGATAACGGTGATGCTGCTGCAGTTGATGATAACGATGATGCTGCCGTTACTGACGCTGCTGCTGTTGCTGATGCTGCTATTACTGCGACGGGCGATACTATCGCTACTCTTTGCTTTTGCCGCTGCCGCTGCTGCTGCTAACTCCTCTAAACACGATGACCACAAAAATTCCAATACCCTAACCACTGTCCTACACTCTCTCTTTCTGGGTCTCTCTCTCTCTCTCTCTCTTTCTATGTTCTCTCGCTGTTGTGTTAAGTATCACGATATCTCTCCCTGGCTGGGCAACATCGACGGAATGTACCCGCGCCCGGCACTCGAAGTAAAGTAATGAGATCTTTTTAGCACGGCGAGAAAGAGAGAGAGATACGCGCGCTCCGTGTCCGTGCGCTGCGCTCCGTGCTGATTTGGAACCGATGGGATTCACCGCGCTCCGTCCGTTATAAGCGGGGAGGGGAGCGGAAAAGGCGACTGTGCAGAGAGACCCTGGCAGGAGGAGGAGGAGGAGGGGGTGGAGACGGGGTGGAGGCGGCATTTCCTTCCAGCTCATTAAACTAACAATAATGATGATAACATCGCCGGAAAGCGAAGCAAACTTGCGATGTTGTGATTTTTAGTGATTTTTTTGGTCACTCCCATGGAATAGCCACTCAGACGCTCGTGTTGGGTGCAGACTTTTGGGCAGTATTGAACGTTTGTTTTGAAGATTGACCCATGTGCATGCGTGCGTACATTGCGATGGCAGTGTCTGTGTATGTCTGTGTATGTGTGTGTATGTGTGTGTGTCTGTGGAGGAGAACGGTAGTGTAGCGGTCAGCGCGCTGCGCTATGAACCCGGCGACACAGCTTCGATTCCCGCTCATGCCCAACACCGGTCCCGGGCCTCCCCTAGGTCGACTCAGCCTCAAATGAGTACCTGGTGCGGTGTGTAAACATCGCCACTAGGGAGACAAAGGCGGTCGGGCGTGGTGCTGGCCACCCACCCCCTCGTGTACCGTTCCGGCCTTCATAGGTGCTCGCTAACAGCACTTGCCCCTACAGTCTGTTAAGGCTACACGGGGGATCTTTGTCTTTGTCTTTGTGTCTGTGGAGAGCGGTGCCATTTAAGCTGTTCACGAGCACATATGAAGGCCGGCATGGCGCACGAGGGGGTGGGTGGCCAGCACCACGCCCGGCCATATTTTTCTCCCCAGTGGCGATGTTTACGCATCGCACCAGATACTTATTTGAGGCTGAGTTGACGTAGGGGAGGCACAGCACCGATTTAGATAATCGTCACCGGTGTTGGTCGTGAGCGGGAATCGACATCAAGTCCCCGGGTCGTATCGCAGCGCGCTAACCGCTGCACCACCGCTCCCCCCCCCCCACCACACTCACTCACTCTCCCGCTTTCTCCCGAGTGTTTTTAAACATTCCTATCTACGTGTGATTGCGATGTGATCGTGCAGCGGTGAGCGCTCTGCACGATCAATCCGGCAAAGACAAAGAATTCGCGATTCACGCACACGGCCACCAACACCCCTGACGATCATCTGAACCGTTACTGGGCCTCCCGTAGGTCGGCTCAGCCTCAAATACGTGCGGCGTATACACATCATCACCGGGACGACTGACAGGAGGCCGGGCGTGGTGGTGGCCACCCACTGACGAGTGGGTCGTGCCGGCCTTCATAGGTGCTGCTACTCGCGGTTGCGAAATGTTAACTACCTCGCCTGGTATACAGGAGGTCGTGGGTTCGATCGCGACTCTGACGCCTGCTGTATATTTGGAGTTTGCATGGTGGTGAAATGTTAACTCCCTCGCCTGGTCTACAGGAGGTCGTGGGTTCGAGCCCGACCCTGACGCCTGCTGTATATTTGGAGTTTGCATGGTGGTGAGATGTTAACTCCCTCGCCTGGTCTACAGGAGGTCGTGGGTTCGATCCCGACCCTGACGCCTGCTGTATATTTGGAGTTTGCATGGCGGCGAAATGTTAACTACCTCGCCTGGTATACAGGAGGTCGTGGGTTCAATCCCGACCCTGACGCCTGCTGTATATTTTAAGTTTGCATGGTGGTGAGATGTTAACTACCTCGCCTGGTCTACAGGAGGTCGTGGGTTCGATCCCGACTCTGACGCCTGCTGCTGTATATTTGGAGTTTGCATGGTAGCGAGATGTTAACTCCCTCGCCTGGTGTACAGGAGGTCGTGGGTTCGATCCCGACCCTGACGCCTGCTGTACATTCTAAGTTTGCATGTTGGTGAGATCTTAACTCCCTCGCCTGGTCTACAGGAGGTCGTGGGTTCGATCCCGATCCCGACCCTGACGCCTGCTGCTGTATATTTGGAGTTCGCGTGTCTCTCTATCTACGCGTGGCTGCGTGTATTTTTCTCCGGATCCTCCGGTTTTCCCCTCCAACATTAAGAATCAACATGCTTTCAGAGCATTTGGCGGCCGCTATACATTTCTACATCGATAAGCTACCATTGGTGGCCAGCTCGCTCCTGGAAAAAGACCTATATAGCTCAGTGGGCCTAACCTGGTAAAATTAAAAAAATATTTGTTTTAATTTTATTTTACACCGTCCGATTTACGACGTTACGTCGTAAAAACGGGGACCGCCTGCACACGCGCGTAATGTATTGATGATGTAGCTTCGTTCCTAAGGTTACGTTACCGCCAACACGTGATAGTCTGGGTTGTCGGGGTGGCCGTGCGCGATGTTGACGTCGGGAGACGCGCGGCGTCGCCTTGAGACGGGGCTCTGTGATTCAACTCTTCCAGCCTCTGGAGAGAATTTCATCAACTCTTCAAAACAGTCCTTGGGGGGGGGGGGGGGTCATCACGAGAAATAAACATTTCCGTGCATAATAGTTTTTTTTGGGTCTCTGTTATGGATAATATTGGTCGCGACAACCCACGTGTTTAACAGGCGTCTCCGTGTTCAGCAAACATGCGTCTCTCACGCGTGCCGTGGAAGGGGCCATGGTTGTTACAGGAATAACACGGCACAATAGTTATAATGTATTGTATTCCTGATTATATGATACATCTTTCTCTTGTGGATGACAATATGGAGGGTGGGGGGAGGTTCGTAGAGTAGATTTGTATAACTTTACGAACACAGGGTACGAGTTCGAGGGACGCGTCTTATTTTCAGGTGCGTCTTACAATCCGGACAAATACGATGGCCACCGTTCTTCTCATGTTGTTGGTGGCCGCTTGTGGATTTTCACACCGACCAAATATCCAAGCCACCACATTCTGCACGAGCCTGATGATGATGATGCTGATGATCGCTACACACATTTCCCATGACACCGCGCGCCTGTCACGTGAGCCTTGCGTTGTTTGTGCCTCTTTGTAAGTCAGCCGGGAGAGAGGCGTCGCGACAGCTGCTGCTCACGAAATTCGAGATACACCGTGGTCATTTTTGTAGGGTGGGGGTGTGTTTGTGTGTGTGTGTGTCAGTGTGCGCATGCGCATCAGCCAGTCATCTCGGTCATCTCGGTCAGTCGACCCGTGGCACCTGCTGGGTCTGCCCCGTGACCTCCTGCCAGCGGGCGTTCGACACTTCACGTGGTAGCCTCAAGGTGCACTTGGCCTGGCACAAGCGTCGTGGTGACGTCACCGCCACTTAGTGGCGAATGGCGGTTGTTGTTGTTGCATGAGGATATCATCATCATCATCAGCTGCAGCATCATCATCATCCAGTAGGGGACTGAGCGTGCCTGCTAATGATCAATGAGGGCAAACGGTGGAGTTTAAGGGCGGTGGTGTCGCGTTCAGTGCGCTGTGCTACAAATCCGGCTACCCGAGATCGATTCCCGCTCACTGCCAACACCAGGCACTCGATTATCTTAACCGATCATGGGCCTCCCCTAGGTCGACTCAGCCTCAAAGGAGTACCTGGTTCAGTGTGTAAACATCGCCACAAAAGGCGTGGTGATGGTCTCCCACCCCTTCGTTCTCGCTCACAGCACTTGCCCAACATTATGTTACAGGCTATACGGGAGATCTTTGTCTTTTCACGCGGCTATCTTCATCAGCATCATCATCATCATCCAGCAGTGGACCGAATGTGGCGCGCTAATGATCAATGAGGGCACCCAGTGGGATTTTAAGAGCCCATAAACACACGGCGCACACGTGTTCACTTGCACAAGGAATTGGCACACGTCACACGCCTGGGCTGCCGAGAATAATTGAACGCACATGGGCGACTTTGTGTGTATTGTGTGTGTGTTGTGTGTGTCTGCATTGTGTGTGTTGTGTGTGTGTTGTGTCTGTATTGTGTGTGTTGTGTGTGTGTTGTGTGTGTTGTGTGTGTATTGTGTGTGTTGTGTGCGTATTGTGTGTTGTGTGTCTGTATCGTGTGTGTTGTGTGTGTTGTGTGTCTGGATTGTGTGTTGTGTGTGTGTGTGTTGTGTGTCTGTATTGTGTGCGTTGTGTGTCTGTATTGTGTGTGTTGTGCGTCTGCATTGTGTGTGTGTTGTGTGTGTATTGTGTGCGTTGTGTGTCTGAATTGTGTGTGTGTGTATTGGGGGGAGGGGGGGGCAGCAATATTCAACACTGGGGTCAGATGTTTAATCTCTCCGTTGCATTGCCCAGGGCAGGAAGGGCACGGGGGCGCTCGTCCACATTGGCATTGTCCACTCGCGTTGTGAAAGCCGACCTCGCCTCACCGTTGCACACAGATGCGCGCACAATCGGCATCTGTATTGCGTGCTGGAGGAGTTAATCCGATGGGCTATGAAGCTCTTTGTCACATGTGTCCAGTAAGGAGGGAGGGGGGGGTCACAAGTTACAACAACAACAAACAACAAATACCCCCCTCCCTCCCCCAAAAAATCGATAGGTATGCAAACTATTATGTTATATTGGGTGGGGTGATCGGTGAATGCGCGTCGAGGCGAATCGATCTCCTGGCGCGGCAGATGAAGAAATATATTTAGGCGATCCAACCCAAACAAAGAAAACCTGTATTATGGATGATATTGGTCGCGAAAGCCTACGTGTTAAACTAATTAATTGGCCGTTAACGCCTACATATATAGAGGACCGCAGAGCTTAGGCAATGGTTGGTAGCGCCGGCTTATCGCCGCGTGGCTGCTGCTGCTGCCTTTCCCGCTCGCCTGTGGTCCCTCCTGGCACCCTCTGAGCCGTCCTCTCTCTTCAAGCCACTGAAGTTCGCCTTGGCCAGGAGTCGAACTCAGGTGGGTTGACAGGGCGGTGTGCTGACCACTGCGCCACCACTCCACCTTCGCGAGTTAAAAAGGGTGACACGCGCAATGGTGCGGAAGTTGGAATTTCCCGAGTGAAAGTTAGAGGGTTCGATTGCAGAATCCAGAATCCGCAGTGCGACCGCGAAAGATCCGGTCCATGTTTTTTTTTACACCCCCGGCCCCTCCGCCCCTCCTCTTACGTGTGCGTGAGTCACGAAGAGCCGGACA